GAATTTTGGTCATGTGACCATGGGGATACGCCAAGGGTGGCAAGTGTAAAAATGGTCCTAAGTCACTTTATTCACTGCCGTCGTAACTTAGAGCGGTCACTAAACAAACCGTTGTACTGAACGTTTGGGCCTGGGGCCTTAGGGACACCGGGGAGGCCAGTGAGGTTGGGGGCTCTGGCAGAGGCTTTCTCTGGCAGAGGCTGAGCCCCCCCTTGTGCCCCCCCTGCAGAGTTCAAGGCCGCCTTCGACATGTTCGATGCCGACGGGGGCGGTGACATCAGCACCAAGGAGTTGGGGACGGTCATGAGGATGTTGGGCCAGACGCCCACCAAGGAGGAGCTGGACGCCATCATAGAGGAGGTGGACGAGGATGGTGAGAGGGGGCAGAAGACGGGAGGGGGGAAGGAAGAGGGGGGGCCCTGGGGAGACCCCCCCCACCTCCCCTGACTGGGCTGAGACTCTCCCCCCCCACACCCCGCAGGCAGCGGAACCATCGACTTCGAGGAGTTCTTGGTGATGATGGTGAGGCAGATGAAGGAGGACGCCAAGGGCAAGTCGGAGGAGGAGCTGGCTGAATGCTTCCGCATCTTTGACAGGTGGGCCAGGACGGGGGGTGGGGTCCACTGGTGGGGGGCAGGCCTGCCTTGTGGGGGGACGGGGAGGGTGTTTCTTTGTTTATTCATTAGGTGTTTTATCCTGCCTTTAGCTACATTTCGTATTTCTAAAGCACCCCTCTCTCTCAAAGCGGGATTCTTTATAACTTCAAAGAGGCAAATAGGCTTTAAGGATACGCCTCCTAGTCCCAAAGGTGATTCTTTTGAAGACGTTTCGCTTCTCATCCCAGAAGCTTCTTCAGCTCTGACTGGACGGAGGAGAATGGAAGGATTTATACTCCTTCCAGGCAGCTGGTCATTGGCCTCCTTTGAGAGGGTCATTGAGGCCGCTTGGAGGCTTACCTGTGCCCTCAGGGTCGCTGGAGTGGTGCAAATGGTTCCCGTAGTCTGCCATTAGTCTGGGGCTTTCCAGGTCCCAGGCTGGCCTGGTGGTGCTCAGCCCGACAGGATGCGCCCTTCATGCTTCGGGTCAGAGTTGAGCACACGGGGGCAGATGTTTGCTCAGTTTCAACTGTTCTATTCCTTCAGAGGCCTGTAGACTAAAACAGGTGAAGAATGGCTGTGGGATTTGGGTCTGGCTAGTCTAAAGAAAAGAAGAATTAGAAGGGACAGGAGAGCAGCCTTCCAGTATTTGAGGGGCTGCCACAAAGAGGAGGGGGTCGATTTATTCTCCAAAGCACCTGAGAGCAGGACAAGAAGCAATGGTTGGAAACTAATCAAGGCGAGAAGCAACCTGGAATTAAGGAGAAACTTCCTGACAGGGAGGACAATTAACCAGTGGAACTGCTGGCCACTAGAAGTTCTGGGTGCTCCATCACTGGAGGTTTTCAAGATGAGACTGGGCAGTCACTTGTCTGAAATGGAATAGGACGTTCTCCTGCTTGAGCAGGGAGCTGGACTAGAAGACCTCCAAGGTCCCTTCCATCTCATTCTATTGCCCCTTTCCTGCCAGGAATGCTGATGGGTTCCTGGATGCTGAGGAGCTGGTGGAGATCTTCCAGCTTTCTGGGGAGAGAGTCACAGAGGAGGAGATCCAGGAGCTGATGAGGGACGGAGACAAAAACAACGATGGGCGGATCGATTTTGATGGTGAGCAGCTCGAATGGACAGATGGACAGAGCTTCTTGGGGCTGACCAACAGCTCCCCCCGCCCCACAGAGGGAGAGAGGCTGTCCCCAGACCCTAAGCAGCCTTTTCCCGACATGGAGTTTGGGACTGTAGGGGCTGAGCATCCCTGCCTCTCTCTCCTCGGGCCCCCTAGCAATTCAGGCCGGTTGGGCACTTCTTTGTGGGGGGCCGCCATCCTTGGCTTCTGGGAGGGGTGCTCCTCTGCCCATCATTGCTGGGGTGGGCTGACCCATCTCCATCTCCCCCCAGAGTTCCTCAAGATGATGGAGGGTGTGCAGTAAAGCATCGAGACATTCCTGCAAGACCGGCCTGAGGGAGGGGGCAGCTCCCCCCAGCTCCGCTCAGCTCCCAAGGCCCATGCTCCTGCGCCAGCTTGCTCTGCACAGCATAGAGATGCCTCTTCAGCAGAACTCTGGATCCCATCGCCCCCCGCTGTGAAAGCCTGTTTTTAACACTGACACCTCAATAAAGAGCAAGGGACTGTGGAAGCACAGGGGCTGTGGGGCTGAGTTTGGTTGCGGACCCCCCCTGCCTCCCCCGCCCAGAGGCTGCCTGGCTAGGGAAATAGGCAACGGACTCCCCACCCCCAGCACGTTCTCCAGCAGCCCTTCCTGTCCTCTGAGTGGGCTCCATCATGCCAGGGAGGGGGAGGGGGCACCCAGGGGGGTCACTTACGTTCCCTTTGGGGGAATTAAACCCCATGGAGGGGGAAGGACCGGGGTGGTCTGTGAGGCCTGGGACTCCTGCCACTCCCTGGGATTCAGGGGAAGCACGTTGTCCGTCTCCATCCCATGCAGGCTGAAGGGAGAAAGCAGGTGGAGAACTCTGCACCAGGGACAGGTGGGGCATCTTGGTGGGCTTGCAGCCTGCAAGTCCAAAGGCAGGGTGGCACGTGGGCACGGCAATGTGCCTGCCAGCCCAAGAAAAGAAACAGGGGAACTAGAAGGGGCTGCTCCATGGTGGCAGTTGAGCTCCTTTGAATAGCTCTGGATCCCCCTTCCTGAGAGTGGGGCACTGTCCCCTCCTCTTCCTGGGGGCGGGGGGGGGGCAGAGAAGGCTGTAGACTGAGAGACAAGCCTTCCCTCCCTCCCTCTTTTTTTCCCTTCCTTTCTTCCTCCTATCACTCCCTCCCACTCTTCCTTCTCCTTCCCTTCCCTTCCTTTCCTCCTTCCCTCTTCCTTCCTCCTCTCCATTCCTCCAACCCTCTGCCTATCTCTCCATCCCGCCCTCCCCTCCGGTGCGAGGAGTCTACATAGGAAAACTAAGCAATAAAGCAATAGAACCCCTAGAGAACAACGATAAACGATATGAACTCAAAAGGATTCCCAGGTGGTTGTAATCCAGCTCTCTCTCAGCAAATCCCCACCCCCTGCGAGAATTTCACTCATCTACTGAAGCACCTCAGGGAGGGGAGGGTCCGGATCGAAGGGGCGCACTGCTTCCGCGAGAACGGTTTAAGATGAACCGGCCCCTCTCTGGCCAGAGTCACCTGAGAAGACACGTCCAAGGGAGGTGGGGCTGGGTGGGGTCTCAAGTCCTCAAGTGATGGGCAAGGACCATTTCCTCCAGAAAGGCAGTTTTCTGGCTCCTCCTGCAAGGCAAAGCTTGTGGCTTTGGCTGCGAGATTCTCCTAGCAAGGGAAGGTCTCCCTAGACCTGCCTAGAACCTGAGCTAGAGGGGCTTCACGTGAAAAAAATGTGAATGGGGTTGAAAAGGGAAGGTGAATTCTAAAGGCTTATGCAATTATACCCTGTGGGCACTGGAGTCCCCGGGGTCAGATGATCGCCTTTGGCAAGCCAACTCCAGGGGGAAGCCAGAACTCACTTAGAGTGGTCGGAGATTTGAGGACCACCACAAAACAAGCAACCTTAAACTGGAATTCTGTAGCCATTGGGAGGTCTCCAACCTGGTCTCCCTGCTCTCTCTGGTCTGCAGAGCGATTTGGAGATATTGCTACCGCCCCTTCTGGGGTTCTGGGAAAAAAGTGGGGAAAAAAAATCACCATGGTACAATTTCCTGTCCATGCCCCATCAAGGCAGGAGGGTAGGAGTATCGCTCTTTTCTCAGTGCAGCTAAACTAGCTAAAAAACAAGGTTTATTTAAAACAAAAATATAAAAGTACTTCACCTGTATCTTTAAATTCTAAAATTGTAGACACGGAAAGGTGTGGGAGATATTTAGTACCAGATTGAATTAAATAGCAGCTAGCAAGTGTTTAAACTGAAAACCCCAAAAGATCACAAGATGGTGACAATCCACTACAAATGTCTCATTTTTCATATTATGGCAAATGACAAACATTATAAAAGAATATCATGGACACCCAACATCTATTTCTCCATTTTGTCCAGAGGAATAAGTAGAAATGTAAAGATGAAAATTCTAGTGCAGCTCCCGCCCACACTTTTCCCTTTCCAGCCAATGCAGGGGAATTCAAAATTACAGAATAAGTTGGTAGGGACCTTGGAGGTCTTCTAGTCCAACCCTCTACTCAAGGCAGGAGACTTGGTACCATCAGACAAATGGTTGTCCAATTTTTTCTTTAAAATCTCCAATGTTGGAGCAGCCACAACTTCTGGAGGCAAGCAGTTCCACTGATTAATTGTTCTCACTTTCAGGAAGTTTCTCCTTAATTCCAGGTGGCTTCTCTCCTTGATCAGTTTCCATTCATTGTTTCTTGTCCTGCCTTCAGGTGCTTTGGACAATAGGTGGCCCCCTCTTCTTTGTGGCAACCCCTCAAATATTGGAAGACTGTCATCCTGCCACCCCTAGTCCTTCTTTTTTTAGACTAGACCGGGGTCAGCAACCTACGGCTCTGGAGCCGCATGTGGCTCTTTCACCCCTCTGCTGTGGCTCCTTGTCACTCAAAATATGTGTCACAACCGCCAATGTGCGACACCTGCCGGCACGCAATTTATTGAGCTTTTCAACTCCTGGTAGGCCAACCATGGATAAATCCAAGAAAAGTTTCAGAAGAAAACATAACATTTAATTCAACTACATCTGCTAGTTTTGTGGCCGCTCAAGAAACAGTCAGGCACAGGAAGGGTTTCGTGGCTCCCGGTGTTTTCTTTTCTGTGGGAATCGGGTCCAAAGGGCTCTTTGAGTGTTTAAGGTTGCAGACCCCTGCTCTAGACCTACCCAATTCCTGCAACCGTTCTTTTTGTTTTATCCTCCAGTCCCCTCATGGTCTTGCTGGCTCTTCTCTGCAGGCTTTCCAGTTCATTGAAACCCATTCCCAAACTCAAACAGGCATCATTTTATAAAAACAAGAGACGTTTATTTATACATTAACACCAGGAAAAAAAGCCAAATAAAACTTTAAAATGACCTATAATACAATAGGGGCCAACATACAGAAAATACAAGGATAAAACAGAAGAGGGAAAAGACATTATCTCCCCCCAGGGCAAAGTGGTGCTGCCTGGGAAGGACATCAAGTATTCTGGCTCTTCATATGTTTTTGGTAGGATTCATGGAGGCGTTTTTTGTAGGCTGTGTGGAGAGACAAGGGGAGCAGATTAAGGGCCCCCGAGATGAGGCAAATTCAGCCAAGGGTTTTCTGGGCATCAAATCCGGTTCCCTTCCCCTCCCCCATCCCCCCCAAAAGCTGGGCAAAGACACAAAGACACGGTCGTTCTTTGTACAATTGTGTAGAATTGTGTACCTGCTCACCTCCCCATGCAATTGTGCAGCTGTAAAAACTATACGTGTAGTCCTCGACTTACGACCACAACTGAGTCCCAAATTTATGTTGCTAAGTGAGAAATGTGTTGAGGTTTGCCCCATTCTGCAACTTTTCTTGCACCACGTTGGTTAACCGAATCACTGCAGTTGTTAAGTCAGTCACACGGTTGTTAAATGAATCTGGCTTTCCCGTTGACTCTATTTGTCAGAAAGTTGGAAAAACATGACACCCCCTGGAAGACTCTGTGACCGTCATAAATATGAAGCCTTTGCCAAGCATCCGAATTTTGATCACGTGGCCATGGGGGAGGCTGCGATGCTCATAAGCGTGAAAAATGGGCATAAGCCACTTTTGACAGTGGAGCCGTCACTAAATGACCTGTTGTAAGTTGAGGACTACCTGTACAGTAAAGTCACCCAACTGCTTTCCTACATAAGGCAGGACTAGAACTCCCCGCCTCGTGGTTCCTAACCTCCCAGTCCAAATTGACTCACCGGCTTGGTTCTTCCAGAGTTCAGCAGCCTCTGTGTTCAAAGGACTTTCCACGTTCGGCTCTGAAGTGGCAGAAAAGGTCCAAAAACACTTTTGGTAAAGAATCAAATTCACCTCCTTCCTCCCTGCCACCGTGGGACCAGGAAAACCCTGCTCTGCCAGGGAGGGTGGGTGGGCTTGGCATCACCCCTGGCACAGGGGCACTGCGTGGCATGGCTGTTCTGCACGGAACCAGGAGCCCCTTCCAGGCCATGGAAGCCCTGGGGCGGCACCCCTCCCTTTCCATTCCACCTCTTGGGGTGCAGCTCAGATGCTCCAGTGGGAATTCCACAGTGGGTGGTGGGGGGAGAGAAATCCTCCTCCTGCTAGCCCCCACCCTTCCAGGACCCTCTTGCTCCTCACCTCCCAGTAAGCTCTGGATGGAGAGCAGGATGGTCCGGACGTCATAGAGAGCTGACCACTTGTCCTTCAGAATGTCCAGACAGATATTGCCCTGAACGTCGACGTTGGGGTGGTAGCAGGGGGTGAGGAACTTGACGGTGGGGGCGTTGTAGGGGTACCCGCTGGGGAATTCCAAGGACAGCTTGTACCTCAGGTCCTCATAGACCTGCACTTGGAAGGGGAGGGGGAGGAGGAAAAGGTCAGGCAAGGCATGGGGGAAGGCAGGACCCCCTCCGTGCCCCTCCCCCCCAATTTTACTGTCTGGTCCCTGCTAGTTTCCTCCACCTCCCCTCTTCTGCTTGAAAGCCCTTTGCCCCCCGAGTGCAGCTGGTCTTCCGGTATGAAGCAACACCCGGCATTCTTTGGGGTGTCCCATTTCTGCAAGCTGGAGGGGGCATCTGCCCAGAAACCCCTCCCCCAGCAGCCACAGAGAGGGTTCTGGCTGGACAAAGGAGGCTTCTCTTCCCCCAGGAACTCCAGATGACCACAAGGGACCCCCACCCCCGACGCCCGCATACCACCACCACCACCTGAGCGCTTCCTTGTGGCCTTCAGCGCTTGGCCTGGGTGGCCTCTGTCTTTGCAGAGCGTGAAAGGCTGCCCTCCCCCCCCCCCCCCGGCGCCCCTCCCCGCCCCAGCCCCGCCCTCGATGGTCCCGATCCACTTGAAGAGATTGTCCGACTCCGGGAAGGCGGAGATGCCGTGGTCTCCGGACATCTGCGAGGAAAAGCCACGCGGGGATCAGAGGCGCCCAGGAACGGCGGGCGCTTGGAAAGAGAAGCGGGACGGGAGAGGCTGGCAGACGGGAAAGCCCCCCCCACCCGCCCCCCGGGCAGCCTCACCATCAGCGTCATCAGCTCCTGCTGCAGCCTGCGGGGGGCGAGAGAGAGAGAGAGAGAGAGAGAGCGGTTAGCGCCGGGAGCTGCTCCCCGACCGGCCCGGATCGGCCGAGGGAGGCGCCGCACGTGCCCGGACCCCCAGCCGCCCCACCTGCTGCGGACCGAGCCCCGGGCGGCGCCCCCGCCGGGTTCGGCCGCCTTGCTGGGGGCGCGGGCGACGGCGCCGGGGTCGTCGTTCTGCGAGGCCATGGCGGGCGCGGGGAGAGCTCGCTCGCTCGGTCGGTCGGGCTGGCGCGGCTCTTCCTCCTCCTCCTCCTTCTCGGCGGCGGCCGCTGCGCGAGTTTGAATGTTGCAAAGCTGCCGCGGCGCAGCCAATCGGCGGCCCCCTCGCGTTCGATCTGCCCAATGGCGGCGCGCGCGCCCGGCGATTGGCCGCGGCGGCCTTGCTCCGAAAGGCGTGGGCGGGGCCTCCTCCCGGGGGCGGCCTACCTCGCAGGGCTGTTGCGAAGCGGACCCGGGAGCGTCCGGCTTTCCCTCCGGCCACGGCCGCTCTGCGAGGACCCGGCTTCTCCCCCTGCCCGGCCTGCCTTTCCCTCCTGTGTTGCGGGGACCGGGGGGGGGGAGGGGATGATGGGAGGCTCCTCTCTCCCCTTTTGGACCAGGGCTGGAGATGGGCTTTTCCTGCAGGGAACGCGGCTCCCAGGCGGTCGCAAGAGAGGCGCTTCCCCGCTCCGTCCCTGGCTTTTCAGCCCCCGCCTCATCCCGCCCCCACCGCTTGGTCTGAACAGCGCTCAGGGGAGGGGGACGAACAGCCGCGCCAGGCTTAACCCAGTGGAAATAATGGACTGCGGTGTCCAGGGACGCCCCATCCTGTCGACTTTGAAGATCTGTGGATTTCAGAATTAGAATGGGAAGAGCTGCTAGGGCCCTCGGAGGGCTTCTCCTCAAGCAGGAGAGCCCGTGGTTCCATCTCGTCCAGGCTCTTCTTGAAGGCCTCCAGTGATGGAGCCCCCACAGCTTCTGCTCCACTGGTTGGTTGTCCTGGCGGGAAATTTCTCCTCACTTCCAGGTTGCTTCTCTCCTGGATCAGTTCCCATCCCTGGTTCAACTCCCAGAATTCCCCAGCCAGCTATTTGCATCAGCCGAGTCAGACAAACAACCGAGGGCCCAGCCTCCCTTGGTCTCTTGCCTGCTGCACCTGTCGTGCTCCAAGTCTGCTGAAGTAGTTCAGGGGTCTCCAATCTTGGCAACTTTAAGCCTGGGGGACCTCAAAGCTGGCTGAGGAATTCTGGGAGTTGAAGTCCGCCAGGCTTAAAGTTGCCAAGGTTGGAGACCCCTGAACTAGAGGGCTTTCTTTGGGAGGGGGCAGAGAGAAGGGCTGGGGAATGTGTCAAGGGGCCTCAACTGCACACCAGTATCACATCCCAATCAGCTGGGTCTCCTCTAGCAGCTTCATAGGGATGCGATAAAGCAGGGAGAAGCCAGCGCTGTTGCTCCTGGGACAGCCTCTCCTGCCCCACCAATGCAGAGCGGAAGGAGAGGCAGCTCCGCCCCCCAACATCCACCTGGAGAGAAATGAGTAAGGGGTCCAGGTCGTTCTTGACTTTCCCATCCCCTGCAAGAGCCACAACGGCAGGACTGATGCCACAAGCCGAGCAAGAAAGGAAACACACAAAAGCTACTGCTGGTGCAATGTTTAGAATGCAACCTTTTAACTTGGGCACTAAATGGATGTGGATGACAGCAGGCTAAGGGCTGCTCCGGGGCCACAGGGCCCCTCTGCACGCCAGGGAGGGAGCCCCTTGCCCTCCAGCCCTTGCCAGCTGCTTCCCACCACCCGCTCAACCCTTCAAGGAGCAACAAAAGTTCAACCAGAGGCATTTATTCCTTCTACATCCTCCAACAAGCAAATACAAGGTTCCCAATATACAATCAGGAAAGCGGAGGGGCGCCTGGTGGGATCCTGTGCAGGGAGAGGGCTGAGGGGAGGCTGCCCCCCATCCCGGGCTTCCCAGGAGCAGATGAGGGGCAGGATTTGCTGGCCGGGCCTGGTCTAAGTCTCCCGCATTTCCTCCGGCAGGGAGGGCGGCTGTTGCTGCGGCAACGGCTGCTCCCCTTCGCTGCGGAGCGTCTTCATGTATCTCTGCATCTTCCCAATCATCCAGGAAGGGATGGTGAAGGGCTTCAGCTCGTCAAGCTTCAGCTCCTGGGAACCCCTGGGGGGAGGAAGAGGAAGGAGGGAGGAGGAGGGAGGAGAAAGAGAAACAGGAAGAGCAGAGGGAGGAGGACGAAGGAGAGGAAGAGGAAGGAGGGAGAGGAGAAAGGAAGAAGAGGAGGAAGAGAAGAGGGGCAGGAGGAAGAGGAAGGAGGGGGAGGAAGAGAAGAGGGGAAGAGGAGGAGGAGGAAGTAGGAGATTGTGTTCAAGAAGGCCGGGACTGACAGCTTCTTAAAGGGACAGGAGCTGACCTACACTTTGCCCCACTCTGGCCTCCTGGGAGTGGGATGGGCTCCCCTGCCTCCCTGAGCCTCACCTGTACTCGTCACTGGCTGCCAGGTCCTGGATGTCCTCCTCCAGCAGGAGGTAGGCCTGTGCAGGGAGAAGGGGTGGGGGAAATCAGAGGAGGCGGGCCTTCTGGCCCCTCCTGGCTGCAGGAGAAGCACTGGAGAGCAGCCCATCATCCTTTGACCAGATTCCCAGGGCCATTGGCCCCCCCTCCCATTCCCCCCCCACTGACCATCTTCCCTCCGGTGGCCCTCATGTACTGCTCCTGAGCCAGCCAGTGCTTGTCTTGGGGGTCTGCCGCGTACTGGGGAGAAAAGAGAGGGAGGGGGAGGAAGAAGTGAGGAAGCAGCAACTGCCCCAAGCCTTGGGGTCCCTTGGGGATAGGTGGGTGGGGGTGAGGCAGGGCTCTCCAAACTCGGAAACTTTTAAGACCTGTGGACTTTATGGCTGGCTGGGGAATTCTGGGAGTTGAAATCTGGAGAGCCCTGCGCTGGAGGGGAGGGGGAGGGGGGGGAAGGAAATGCAGCAACCCCTGGCATGATTCAGCCAAGGAGGCGGACGCTGGCCTAAATCAGGACGGACATCTCTGCAGGGGAGCCACGATGCGGAACAGGAATGCTGACTAAGCCAAACCTCAGCCTGCCACTCCCCATCTAACGACCCTACATGAGCCTGGGATTATGGTCGTATGTTGTGATGGTCGTTAAGTAGGTTGCCATGTGACCTCACCTGAATTTACAACTTTTACGGCAGCTGAGTGAACACAGCTGTCGTTAAATGAACCCATCACAGGCAGTCCTCGACTTACACCAGTCTATTTAGCGACTGTCTGAAGTTACAACGGCATTGACAAAAGGGACTTATGACCACTTTCACACTTATGACCGTTATAGCACCACCACCCCGTCATGTGATCAAAATGTGGATGTTTAGAAACTGACTCCTAGTTATGTCGGACGCAGCGTCCCTTTGCAAAGTTCTGACAAGCAAAATCAATGAGGAAGCCAGCTTCACTTAACAACCGTGGCAAGAATAGTCCTAAAATGGGGGCAAAACTCACTTTACAACTGCCTCGCTTAGAACAGAAACCTTGGGCTCAATTGTGGTTGTAAATCGAGGACTACCTGTACTCAATGAGCATGTTTTGCTGGGAGCAAATGCTGATTTCTGGCAAAAAAAAAACCAAAAACCCCTCCAGAAATGGCAGCCATAGGGACCCTGCCACAGCCGTAAATGCTGGCTGGCTGCCAAGTGCCCAAAATGCTCTCTTGGGTGGGGGTAGGGGGCGAGGGGGGGGGGGGGGGGCGTAGTGGTCCTCAGAATTTCCAAACCATGTTAAATCCCTCTGGGCGGTCCATCGGTCATAACTCCAAATACCTGTTAATCAGAGGCCAACTTCTGTCCTCTGCCTGTGACCTGGTGGCCGAGGAATCGTGGCATTCTTGCTGAAAGCGCTTGGCAGGGTCCTCCCTGGGGTGTGTTCGTAAATTAAGGAATGCCCCCTCCCCCCCAGTGGCCAGGAAGATCTCCCCCATCCGCCCCCAGGAAAGAAACCACACTGACCTTGAACAAGTGGGGGTGCTTGATGTAGAGCCTGCCTCTGGTGCCCCCCATCCCAAGGGCCCTGAATCCAGAACGGGAATAGTTAAAGTCTGCAGCGGTTAAGGGGCAACACCCCCCTTTGAAGAAGCATTAATAGGTAGCTGGCTCCCCCTTACTTGTTTGCTCTTGACCCAAGAACGAAGCTCGTGGTCTCCGTGAGGCGCAGGGGGTCCCACTGCAAGGCCAGAAGCGAGTGGACACGAATCAGTGACAGGCAGGAACTGACCAGAGGCCCCTTGGTCCTCTCGGGTGGCTCTCTGGGTCAGTGGCCTTGCTGATGGGTGGGGCCCAGGTTGAGAGGCTGCCTCCCCTCCCCAGGGATGGCTTTGCAAACTCAAGGGGGCTGTGTGTGCCCAGCGTACCTTCGGACCGTCCCTCTGCACTGGTTCACAGGATTTACTCTTCCCTCTGAAAGCAGAGAGGGGGGGTCTTGGGAGGTGGCCAAATCTGCATCGTGTGCTTGTCCTAACGAGGGAAGAACCTTCCTTGCTGCCCCTCGATGCCATAACTGACTGTGTGCCGGACTCGAATCCAACCCTCCTTGTAAAAGGAATCCCACCCGTTTCCTGACTTACTCCTCCTCTTATAAGCGGGTGTTTTGGCCGGAGGGGCATTCTCAAGGCTTCACTGGGGAAAAGGGCAAACACAGGCCAGAGCAGCTCCCCCCCGCCCCTCCCCCTCACCATAAGGCCCTGTGTGGAATCCCTACTCACGTGCTGACACCTGAAGCACCACGGTCACCAGGCTGGCTCTGTCCTGGCGGTCTCCCCTTCCTCTGCCAAGGAGAAGAGACCCTCATCAGTGTTTCCTGGCCGCAGAAAGAGAGCGCCAACCGCCTTCTGTCGGGCGCTTCTCCAATGGCCTACCTTTTTGGGGATGGGGCTCCCCTGCTGGCTCACTTCATCTTCCAGGGGCTTCGCCCGCTGCAGAGAGAGAGAAAGTGGTATCTGCAAAGCGAGAACTACTACCTGCCCCAGGTGTGGGCTCCTGCAGTCTCGCCCTGTGCAGCCAGGGGGCTTCTCCCAGCAAAGAGGCGAAGGGATCCTCGGCACTTTAGGCTGCTCCCGAGCCCAGCTTTCAGCCTTTACCTTGATGGCTGGCACTTCGTGGGGAACTCTTGCAATCGGTCTCTTCCCATCGCAGAACAGGAGCTTGGCCTGCAGGGAAAAGAGGATGGTCAGACTGGCACCAGGAGGGCCGATCAGCGTCCACGAACCCCCGAGGCTGGTGGCTGGTGACTCCGGACAGGCCAATGGTCTGGGAAGGCCTAGTGAGCCCCTACTTTCCTTAATTTCAGCAGCTCAGAGATGCACTTTCTATGATCCCCCTATCTCAATACTCCTATTTTATTAGTTTATCAAAATATAAAATGCAGAAATGCAAAGAAAAATGAAAATAATGGGAAAATAGGAGAGAAAAAAGTGTATGGTAAACGGGAGAAAAAAAAAAAGGAAAGGAATTTACTTCCTGCTCCTTTGGCACAGGAAATACGGTAATTAACTTTTGCGTAGTGGAGGAAGTGCCATTTTTTTATTCCTAATCAGAACAGCAGAATAACACAGAGATGGAAAAGACCTTGGAGGTCTCCTAGTTCAACCTTCTGTTCAAGCAAGGACCCCAAACTCATTCAGAGAAATGGCTGTGCCCCATTTAAAAGCCTCCAGTGATGGCGCATACAGAGTTTCAGAAGGAAAGCCGTTCCACTGATTATGGTAATTGTTCTCCCTGTTAGGAAATTTCTCCGTAGTTCTAGGTTGCTTCTCTCCTTGATTAGTTTCCATCCGTTGCTTCTTATCCTGCCTTCAGGGGCTTTGGAGAATAGGTGGACCCCCTCCTCTTTGTGGCAGCCTCTCAAATATCGAAACTCTGCTATCACGTCTCCCCCTAGTCCTTCTTTTCATTAAACTAGACATACCCAATCCTGCAACCGGGTATTATACTCAATGATCTCTCTCGCTCCGCAGCTTGCTAGGGCTCCCCCTAGCCTTTGCCCAAGGAAGACAGAGAGAATTAAAGTGGTGTTTCACTAGGCAGAAAAAGTAGAACCAGGGCCCTCCTTTCACCCAGGGGTGGCTGCCCAACTCTCCCCCGACCATCCTGCACTCAAGAGCAGCACTTTCTTGGAACAGGAGAGTGCTGCAGCTGGAGCCTCTCCCTACCTGCTCCAGGCAGCTGCGACACGTCTCTTGGATGAGCTGCTCTGTGTCCACATCCTCGCCGACATTCTCGCGCACGTTCCCTGCCGCCTTTTGGAAAAACTGGAGAGAAGGAAAGAGCCCCTCAGAGTCAGAAGGCTGAGGACAGAATTGGTGCCCCTCCCAATGGATGCATTTACAGGTAAGTCCCTGACCTACAACCAAATGGAGCCCCACATTTCTGCTGCTCAGCGAGACAGTTGTTCAGTTAGTTTTGCCCCGTTTTAGGACCTTTCTTGCCAGTTGCCTCCTGAAAAAGCACCTTTGGGACTGCCTGTATTTATTTATGGGTTCACCCAGAGGCCGGTCTTATGAAAGGCAACCCTGGCGGATGCATGACCACCCCCGAGCCCACTGCCCCATCATTAGGTCCCCCAGTGCACTCCTGGCCTCCCACTGGGGCACCCACTGCCTGGAGCGGGCGAGACCGGGGCATCTGGGAGGTGTGCGGGGGGGGGCTCCTTTGGCCTGGCAGTTGCTCCCTCCACCAACCCCCTCCCCTCCCCCCCCGCAGCCCCCTACCTTCATGTACTTGCCGAAGACTGCCTGGATCTCCTCGTTGATGCTGGGCTGCAGGACGGCGCGCAGGAGGTCCATGGAGACCACGGGGTCTGTGAAGCTGCAGAGGGGGAGGGTTGGTGGCCCCCCTGCCGCCCTTCCCGGAGGCAGCCCTCCCCCCTCCCTCCCTCCCTCCCCCCCAGATTATGGGGGAAGCCCCCGGGAAAGGGCCCTTGGGGAGGGGGCCCACCTGGTCATCATCTGGGATCGCCGCCCGCGCCGCTGCACCAGCCGGTGCTTGATCATGATGTTCCAGGGGCTCTGCGGGGAGGGGGAGAAAGAGGGAGGGGTCAGGAGCGCCCGCCCCCACGCCGGCCCCTCCCCTCCCCCGCAGGCCCCGCCCTCACCGCCGCCCCAGGCTCCCCGTCGGCCCCCGCCGCCGCCGCCTCCTCCTCCTCGTCGTCCTCGGGCTCCTCGTCCTGCGCCGGCGGCGGATCGACCTCCCGGGCGGCCCCCATGCTCAGACCAGCGTCCCTGGCCGCGGGCGCGCCTCTCTGACGTCACCGCCGCGCCACGGCCAGACCCGGAAGCGGCGCGCGTTGCCCGGCAACGGCGGGGTCTTAGTCCCCGCCCCCGAGCGCTTGATCGGCTACCCCCCCATGGGGAAAAGGGAGGGGCCTGGCCGACCCCTGACAGGAAGAATGGGGTGCGCCCGCGGGTCCCCGCTTGACGTTGAGGAACCCTCATAGATTTCCCCCCCCCCCCCTTCCCCCCGGGGAAAACCCCAGGGAAGGGGCCCCCCCCCCCCCCCACTGTTTTCCCCCCCCCCAAGGAAGGCGGGTGAGGGTCGCGTTTGGCCCCCATGGAGGGTCTCAGTCTGGGTGGCTTCGGGGCCCTTGGGCCTGGAAGGGGGGGGTTGGTACCCCCTGGGCTGCCGTGGGTCCAGATATAGGCGGTCCTCGACTTACGACCAAAATTCAGCTCAAAGTTTCCTTTGCTGAGCAAGACAGTTGTTAAATGGGTCTTGTCCCATTTTACGACCTTCCTTGTCTTCATTTGTTAAGTGAATCACTGCAGTTGTTAAGGGAGTCACACGGTTGTTAAGCGGATCCGGCTTCCCCATTGACTTTGCTTGTCAGATGATCATGTGACCCTGGGACATGGCAACCGTCATAAATACAAGCAGGTTGGGAAGCATCCGAATTTTGATCACCTGACCCTGGGGAGGCTGCAACCTTCATAAGTGTGGAAATCGGTTAAAAGTCACTTTTTTCAGTGCCGTCGTAACTTTGAATGGTCACTAAATGAAAGGCCGTAAGTCGAGGAGTTCCTGTAGTCCCCACTTGTGGGACTAGAGACTATGGAAGGGGGGCAAACAAGGGTTTTTTGCTTCCTGGAAGTCTCCAGAGGGCAGCCAGTTGAGCCAGGAAATGTTCAGCCTGTCGGGCTTCCTCCTGCGGGTTTCTTCCCTTTTTCAAAGAATTGACATGTTTGCTGCAAGAGAGGCATGGCATCAGAAGTCATGAGAAGACAGGCTGTCTCGTTTTTTTAAAACGGATGTATATAGCACATAGGTGACTGGAAAAATTATAAAAGTCTATCATAAAATAAAACCACTCAAAACCCCTCCGTCTCCCTCCCACGGCAGGAACAATACAATCAGATTCACCCCTTCATCGGCTCCATCTCTGCCTCTCTGGGGCTGTTGCCAAAACCAGGTTCCCTCAGCCGAATCTCTCTCTTTGTTTTGTCAAAGCTTTCCTTAAGGATGCTTCCATTACTGGGTGTGAACCGGAAACGGGTTTGAATTTTGAAATCGGAAAGGCTTAGGGAAAAGGCAGAGCTCCAGACTTCTGGAGGGCAAGACAGCAGATGGGCATTTCTGAATTAATGGGCAGTGATTCGGAGAGCTAAAACGGAAAGGGTGGATCTCCCAGGGCCTCCAGGAGAAGGTCAGCAGGTAGCAGGCTGTGGTTTCACCTTTTCCTCCAGGTGTGCAGGTATGTGTGTGTGTGAGAGAGAGGGAGAGAGAGAAAGAGAGAGGGAGAGAGAGAGAGAGAGAATATAGAGAAGTAAGGGATACGCGCAGAGGACCTTCCTTATTCTCTGACTTCTAATCGTTCTTCACTGGATCAAGAAGATTGCACAATAAATCTGCCTTTGGGAGGATCCGCCCAAGGTCATCTCTGGATTCTGGAGAAACGATTGGAACTGGCGCATTGTGTGAAGCTTTGTGTGTCAGCTTTGATTAAATCTAAGAGAAACAATGTTTGTTGCTGTCAGCCGCCCAGGCTGTAAGATGGCCGACCTTACAAATCTATAATAAAACAAAAGAATTTGCACAAATTCTCCCTCCTAACTAAGGCCATACTGATACACCTGATCTGTCTCTGGACCTTGAGGATGACCTTAGGATGGCAAGGAATCCAGATAGAAAATGCTAATGGGTGACCACACAGATGAACTGGGATGAAGGACAAGAAGTAATAGGTGGAAGATCATTAGAGAGAGATCCAACCTAGAACTAAGGAGAAATTCCCTGACGGAGAGAACAATCCCTAGGTGGCTAAGACGCTGAGCTTGTCGATCAGAAAGGTCGGTGGTTCGAATCCCTAGTGTAGGTCTTCTGCATGAGTGGGGGGGTTGGACTAGATGATCTCCAAGGTCCCTTCCAACTCTGTTACTGTTACTTGGAACGGCTTGCCTTCAGAAGTTGTAGATGCTCCAACACTGGAGATTTTCAAGAAGAGACTGGACAGCCATTTGTTTGAAATAATATAAGATCTCCTGCTTTGAGCAAGGGGTTGAATTAGAAGGTCCCCCCCCCCCACAACCCTATTACTCTATGTCCAGGGCTCAGTGCAAGACACTATGACTATATGTTGAAATGATTGAACCTGGCAATCTCGAAGTCATGGATTTGATGGACTTAATGGATGGGAAGCTGAGAGAGGCCCCCAACAGGCATGGCAGATTTGAGTGTAAAATAGTTGGCCAAAAATATTGAAAAGGAGAGGTAAGGTGAAATAACTCTCGGAGATCATTGAGCATCGCAATAGACACTTTTATGAAGGGGGACTCTGTGGGGATGCTCTCCCTCGTGGAGCTCATCAATCTGCCTCCCACCCAGCGGGAATTGCGCTCCAGGCTGGCAAGAGGGAGAAATCCCCCTTTAGGGGGATTCTGTGTTCCTCTTCCTTAATCCTTAGGATTGTGAGAGATTTATTTATGTATTCATTCAGATTCATTCATTCATTCATTCATTCATTCATTCATTCATTCACTCACTCACTCACTCACTCACTCACTCACTCACTCACTCACTCATCTCATTGAAATGCTGCAAGTCTCTGTTCTGAAGGTGCAAGTGGCCCTTGGTGGTGGCTGCTTCGGAAAGCAGCTTGCTGGACTCCAGGCTTGTGAGCTGCCTACAAGGCAGCTTGGAGTGGGCCTGCCCCTCCCTCTCCCTCGGGCACTCTCACTGCTCCTGTAAAGCAGCCCCTCCCCTGGAGATTTGGATGACCCCAACCCAGTGGTGGGTTGCTACCGGTTCCCCCCAGATTGGGCAAACCGGTAGCGGTGGTGGGGGGAGGCTCTGCGTACTCACCCGGACACTTCTCTGCTTTGAATAACATCGCTTATGCTGAAAGGGAAAAAAATGTGAATTTTTATAGAGGCATGGTTTTATCTCCAGGCCTTTTTTAACCTTGAAATGCAGCCACCAGATCACATCAAAAATTGAAAGGGAAAATTCATCACATGAATTTTGACCCTGGTCACGGTCAAAATGAACTGGTGTAAGTCCAGGGATATCTGCATGTGGCCGTAGTTGGGAGGAGGACATGCACAGGGAAACACCGGGAGGCTTTTGGGCCTTGGGGTGCAAAGGCAGCTCCCATCAAAAGAGCAGGGTCCCCTCCGTTGGCCCACCAATAAAAGCTCCCAACTCTTTTCATCTGCCCTTTCAGTGCTAACTTTGAACAGTCACTAAACAAATAGAAGATCTCCAAGGCCCCTTCCAACCCTGTTATTCTGTCATTCACTTCACCCCAGGAAATGTTTTACAACAGATTCTAAAAATGCTTTATGATAATTTTCATTTCATAAAAGGTTTTATAAATTACAGCTACTTTGGATGGGGAATTCTGGCAGTTGGAAGTCCACAAGTCTTAAAGTTGCCAAGGTTGGAGAGCCCTGTGATCTAGAGGAGCTCTCCCAGGTGTATGGACAGCCCCTCAACCTGCCTCCTTTCTTGCTTCTTTCCTTGAGCTGACAGGTTGTCTCTTCCTAGGGAGCCCTGCAGGAGACAGACACGACACCTGCCCCAGGAACTGGGTCAGCTCTGCCTGGTCTGTCTTGGCGCCTCACAGGCATCCTGCCATCAAAAGCTGAAAAGGGAAAGATGAAAGGGCAATAAAGGTTTGTGTTTATGTGATAAGAAATTGTGGGTGTGGGTGTGTGATAAGTGATAAGAACCAGGTGAGCTGAATCCTGTTTGTACCAGCATCCCATGGCCAGGCACCCTGAAAAGTATGCGGGTACCCCCAAACATCTCAGAGTTCTCAAAACATTTTGGAGAGCTCTGGTTGGCTTGAAACGGGCTGGTCACGAGGGAGAGATATACTGGGGGCAAAAACCTATACGCTGGCTTGACTTTACTGCAACCAACATCCTTTGTAAAAGAACCCTTTGCTTTAACCAGACGGAGTCGAGGGTTTTTCTTTTCTAAGGGTTTGGATTGGGGCAGGTCTGGCAAACTGGTTCTGCCAGCTGATTCCTGTTCCTGTCTCTACCAAGACTGGTGAAGATTGTTCCTATCTGGCTGCTTCTTCCTGTTCTTGTAAGTGATGAAATGAGGATGGTTATCATGCCAGGGTGTTAATTGCTCAATTACTTAAGGTTGTTGTCCCATTAAAGGCACCACTGCATATATTTTTCTTTAAAGAATTTATTATTATTTTTTTTAAAAAAAACAAAAACAAAACATAAAAACATTATCATTCCAAACAATTAAAGGCAGTGTATCAGTCGATAACATTTTTTGTGCTCCTCCTCTCTTCAATTTATCACTAAACATGCTAGTTTATTTCCAAAAGTTTCAACATCCATTTATATCATAATTATCTCCAATTCTTATTCTCCATCCATTGGTAAAATAAATCCCATATCAAATAATATTGTCTATCTTCCTGCTCTCATATTTCAAATGTCAGTCTACTCATTTCAGCACATTCCATCATTTTCTTAATAATTTCTTCATCATTAGGTAACTTTTCTCCTTTCCAGTTTTTAGCAAATACAATTCTGGCTGCTGTCAAAAGATTCACAATTAAGTATTGCAGTTCTTTATTATATGTCTCCAGCACGATCCCTAATAAAAATATCCCTGGTTTAAAGTCAATATGTCTCTTTATCATTTTTTCCAACCACATGTGTATCTTAGTCCAATATCTCCTTGCTTCTATGCATGACCACCACATGTGGTAATAGGATCCTGGGGTCTGGTGACATTTCCAGCACTTCTCCGATTTACTCTGGAACATTCTGGCTATCCTCGTCGGGGGTAGATGCCACCTGAAATTTAATTTAATTTAATTAATTAAATTTATATGCCGCCCCTCTCCGAAGACTCAGGGCGGCTCACAATACTTTTAAAAAATCATTATAAAAAGACATCGAAAAATTAAAAACATTAAAAACATTAAAAACTGTAAAACATCTTATACAAATTCTCCTTATATGCTGTAGACATTGTCGTTTTATAATTATGTGACCATAATTTTTGCCATTTCTCTAAATCAATACCATAGCCAAAATTCTTCTCCCATGCTATCATTGATTCTTTAACTTGTTCTTCTTCCACTTTAACCTCTAATAAATAACCATATAACTTTTTAATTACATGATCATCAGAGCCCATTAAGATCTTATCTAAATTAGTCAAGTCATTATACAAACCTCCTTGTTTGAGATCTCGATATCTAGAAAGTGTTTGCATATATGAAAGCCAATCCATCTTATATCGTTGATCTTCTATATCTTGCTTTAGTTTAAGTTCACCCTTTTCATCCAATAATTCCTTATATCTTATGATTTGTTCCCCTTTAAACGTCACTGGATACGAGAATGCTTCAATTGTGGATATCCAGACTGGTACCCTCAAATAGTGATATTTTTTAATCTTCTCCCAGTTCAACCATAAAGCTTCACGTACTTTATGTCTTCTAAAATACCCCTGTATTTTAGTTCCTTTATACCACAAAAAGGCATGCCATCCCAACAACAAATCATGTCCCTCCAAATTTAACAATCTAGTGTTTTTTAATACTATCCATTCTTTAATCCACATTAAACTATTTGCTTGATAATAAAGTTCAAAGTTAGGTAAACCAAAACCACCCCTCATTTTAGCATCTTGTAACAACTTAATTTTTATTCTTGCCTTTTCCCCTGCCAAATATATTTCAATATCATTTTATTCAAATCTGTAAAAAAATCCTTGTCCAACTTTATCGGAATCGTCTGAAATAAATACAAAATTCTAGACAAAATATTCATCTTAATAGTTGCAATTCTCCCAATTAAAGATAGTTGCAAATTTCCCCATTTTTCCAAATCTTGTCCGATCTGTCGCTTAACCTTATTGTAATTATTTTCTTTAAGAGAACTACACCTTGCTGTCAATTGTATCCCCAAATATTTTACCTTATTCGTGACCTGCATATTTGAAATCTCCATCAATTCTAAGACACCATTGCATATGGATGATGGTGTCCTGCTACGTACAATGTTGGGAACGCCAGGGGCTAACCCGTCTTTCTGAATGGCGGCTGAATGTCGTTCCATGCTCTCTGCCAACCGGAGATGAGCAAGCGAGTTACGTAGATTCATGGGGAAGGCAGGGACCCGTCTTCTCCTCAGCCTTCCCTCACGCGTCTCTCTTCCAAACCTGGCCAAGGGAGATGTCCGTAGAAGTAGCGGAAGATGGGTGGGCTGCCTATGCTGAGTTCACTCTCTGTGTTTGGAGACCTCTGGATGTCATGGCTTGCCCACAAGGGCTAAGTTGCATGTAACCATGGCCCGTCTTCACTTACGACCACAATTGAGCCCAAAACACCCAGTGGTATTAGTACCTCCCTTGGTCTTGATTGTATCCCTCTGTTAATCCAGTTTAGGATTGCGTTGGCTTTTTTGGCTGCTGCCGGACACTGTTGGCTCATATTTAGCTGGTTGTCCATTAAGACTCCAAGATCCCTCTCCAGTTACTGCTATTAAGCCTGGTTTCACCCAGTCTACAGGTGTAATTTTGGTTTGCTTGTTGTGGCCATTGGGGTGGGGGGTGGGGGTTCCCATTTTTATTCTGGTTACGTTGGGCTTTTTATTGTCTGTAAACCAGTCAGAGTCACTGAGAGTGAGTGGGTGGCCATATAAATCCTCTGAATAAATAAAATAAATAAATAGAAGCGTATCAGGGTTTGGGTGCGTTTGCCAGCAATCGTGGGCGATGATGCCAAGCCATGAATAAACATGCCTGATTCTGGGAGGCTGCAGGCGGAGGAACAGCAGCACTGCCAAAAGCAGCACGGCTGACTCTGCTCAACACAAGGGCAGACACAGCCACCCCAGGTAGTCCTCGAATTACGACCTCAATTGAGCCCATCATTTGCATTGCTTAGTGAAACACATGTTAACTGAGTTTTGCCCCATTTTCCATTAAGTGAATCACTGCAGTTGTTAAGTTAGGGACCCGGTTGTTAAGTGAATTTGGCTTCCCCATTGGCCTCATTTTCAGAAGCTGGCAAAAGGCAATGAAGACGAGACTGGACAGCCATTTGTCTGGAATGGAATAGGGTCTCCTGTCTGAGCAGGGGGTTGGGCTAGAAGACCTCCAAGGTCCCTTCCAGCTCAGTTGTTCCGTTCCGTTCCGTTCCGTTCACCGGTGGAACGACTTGCCTCCAGATGTTGTGAAAAGTTTTTAAGAAGACTTGACAGCCCCCTGTCTGAAATGGCATGGGGTCTCCTGCTTGAGCAGGGAGTCTGACTAGAAGACCTCCAGTGTCCCCTTCCAGCTGTGGTCTGAACTGAATTGAATGGAAAGTGACTGAAATTTTACTGCTGCCAGGTTTACCAGGAGGGATGTTCCTGCCAGGCTGATCTCAGGAGACCCCTAAGTGCGCAGGTTGCCCGGGCAGGTGGGAAGAACGGTTGGGGTCTGCAGGACCCTCTCTGAGCAGAAGCCAGGGCCGCCATCCTCGGGGCCCAGCTCTCTCCCTCCAAGGAGGCTTTGGTGCCGGATCTGTCAGGCTGCTGCTGCTGCTGCTGTGTGGGAGGCAGAGGCTCCTGGGGTGGCTTTCAGGGAAGGGAAGGCTAAGATGCTTAATCAGAGAGCCTGGCAGCCGTTCCCTTCCCTCCCCACAGCCCCACCCAGGACAGGGTTTATAGCCTGGGATAAGCACAGCCTGGGCCCTGGGAGCCGTCTGCCTCTGGACGCCAGGATGAAGCCAGGGGCCCTCTTGCTGCTTGTGGGCTCCGTGGCCCTCTGGACGGGGCTGCCGGCTGCACCACCCCGAAGTAGTGAGTACCGGCTGTTGCTGAGCACAGGTGAAGAAGTTGCTCACCTTGCTTGCTTCTGGGAGTGGAGCAGACACCTGCTTGGGCTGCACCTGTGCAAGGGAGGGGGGTGGGGAAGGAGGGGGAGGAAGAGAAGGGGCTCAATTCCTGCACCCTGAAACCTCAGCAGTGTCCTCTCTGTTGGAAGAGGTACCGGGTTTGGGTACGGGCAGTCCTCGAGTTATGACCGTAACGGTGCCTGCTCATTACGGTTGTCATAACGGTCATAAAACAGGTCAGTCAGGACAACCACTTGTCTGAAATGGACTCCTGCTAGATCAGGGGGTTGGTCTAGAAGACCTCCAAGGTCCCTTCTAACTCTGGTATTCTGGTCACGTGATCATGCCAATTTTATGACTTTTTTGCAACGGTCATTAAGGGAATGCAGCCGTCCTTAAGTGTCCTTAAGCCAGCCATGCTAGCTGGGGAATTCTGGAAGTTGAAGTCCACAAGTCTTAAAATGGCCAAAGTTGGATGCCCATGTACTAGGTCATGTTACTGAATGGCTGGCTGGGGAATTCTGGGAGTTGAAGTCTCCAAGTCTTAAACTTGCCGAGTTTGGAGGCCCCTGTCCTGAAAGCACAAGAGGCTTTCTGGGAAGAATGTCATTGAGGAGGGTGGAATTTGGGGTGTGTGTGTCCCTCAACCCCCCCCCCTTCCCAAGTCAGTTTGCCCTGGTTTGGGAGGCAGAGCTGAAGAGTCCCTGCCCCATAATTCTGATTACTAATCATTCATTTCCTCCTAATTATTTCCAGGTAATTTTCTCTAATTTATACCTGCAAGAGTTGGGAGGTGTTCAGCTCCACCGAGGTTGTCCGCCCCCAGAATATTTTGTAGCCAAATAGAAACGCACCTCGCAAATTCCTGGGACTTCTGAGTTTCGCACAGAAACAAACAGGAGAAATACAAAGAAAACATCAAGTAACAGGCTTGTTGTAATTACACACCTCATAACAAGTGTTGTGGTTGTGCAATATAAAGGACGCTAAGCAATTAGTTTCTGCCTTTCGTACTGAATTTTTGACCCGTCAACAAGATGAAGAAGCCAGGAGAGGAAACACACAAAAATAGGAGAGGGTGGGCCCCAGGTCACCGGAGGTGTTTGGTGAGAGCCCAGGTAAAACCTCATGAAGAATCCAGTCCTGGATGTGCAACTTTGGCCCCTTTAAGACTTGTGGATTTCAACTTCCAACCTGGCTGGCTGGGGAATTCTGGGAGGGGAAGTCCGGAAGTCTTAGAGTGGCCAAGGTTGGACACCTCTGATCTAGCCTAGTCGCTGAGGTGAGCCAAGACTATTGATTGTACCAATGAAGGAGAATTTTTGTAAGTCAGGGTTGAAATGAGGGGTCCTTGGTGTTCTCAGAGCTTGGTGATTTTCTTGCAGATGTTTCATGACCCAACTAGGGAACATGATCAGTGCTACAAGAGGAGTTTGCAGAATGGAGGAGAATGAAAGGTGGGGGGGAGGAGGAGGAGGATGGAAGGGCGAGGAGGAAGACTGTTTGGTCCTTGGCTGTTTTCTTGCAGATGTTTCATTGCCCAACCTGATAGCATCACCTGTTTTAGAAGGGAGGGGGGCTGTGAAAAGGAGCAGGAGGAAGTTTCCTTGCAGATGTTTCAGTCCCCAACTAGGGAACATCATCCCAGATGTTTTTCCCAAGGAGACATTCAGACATCCTGTCAGTTTTGGAAGCCATTTTTCTTTTTAGCTTCCTGACTGCCAAATATTTTAGCCTGGGAAATTGGGAGGGTTTTTTTGTTGTTGTTGGAGTGGTGGAAAATTAGCCATAACAACATTCTTTGTTCTGGGAGACAAGGACATTTGCCTGCACCTGGATGGGAGTGACTGGGGATTGTCTCCAGTTGAGTCTGAAGGATGGGTTGGACCATGCAATGAACTTGTGGGTGTGGAGCCGGGTTGTGAACTTTCAACTGGGTGGGGAAAACCTGGACGCTTTCAGATTCGGGTTTTCCCAGATGTGCCAACCTGACAGCTCTAATAAAGTGGAACTTTGAGGAGCTCATTGCCTTGGAGTTTTATTTCGTTGGGGGTGTTTTTTGGAACCCTGACACATCCCTTATTTGAGGGAGGGTCCCCAGAAGGAGAAGGATCTCCCACCTCTCAGTGGGAATGAGGGGCCCATCAAGTGAGTTCCAATGGGGCTCCAGAAGGAGCCCAGGAGAACCAGCCATCCCCCTCCATACCATGCATTGGCAGCTCCCGATCTCCCTCCCTCTGATGCCACTTGTCTTCTCTCTCTCTTATTCAGGGACTTCTGGACAGCCCCCTCTTCCCCCCAGCGGTGCCCCTGGGGAAGCTCCCCAGGACAAGATCTCGCAGAAGGAGGAAGCAAAGCTGGCATGCCTGATGGGCCAAGAGCCTGAGGTGGCCCAGAAGAGCCCTTTGCCCCAGGGGAAGGAAAGTGAAGAGCCACAGCCTGGCAAGGAAGGCAGCCTTCGCCCCGAGGCAGCAGGTCCAGCCCCCCCTGGAAAGCTTCTCTGTAAAGAGAAGCCACAGCCGGAAAGGCCCCCTGTAAATAACTTGGAAGTTGAATCTTCTGGGAGTCCCAGATCAGTTGAAAAGCCCCAAGGGGCATCTGAGAAGGACCCCTCCCTGGACACCTGGACTCAGCTGGGAGGAGCTCCTGCCAAGCCCAGCTCTCTTGGCAGATCCAAGTTGGCTTCCAAGCCAGCATTGCCCAATCTGGAAACCTGGAACCCAGTCTGGGATCCCAGTAATGTGGCCACTTCTGGTGGGAAGCCAAACACTAGCAAAAAGCCCACTTCTAGCACCCCAGGTGACAAGCCCACGCCTGGAATGGGGAAGGCCACCCCAACAGAGAAGCCGGTTCCTGGCTCTGGACACACCATCCAGGACAAGCCAAAACCAGCTTCGGCTGCTGGGCATCACGTGGGCCCCACATCTGGAGAGAAGCCAGCTCCTAACCGTGGCCCCGAGGCCCATGGCAGGCCCGTCACTGGTGAAAAGCCCACACCTGGAGAGAAGCCGTCTTCCCAGGTGGGGCACGAGAAACGCCCGTCTGCCGACAAGGCAACTTCCTCTGAAAAGCCAGAAGAAGATGGTGAGAGACCGGAAGCTGAGAAGGAGTCCAAACCTGAGAAAGAAGCTGAGGAGGGGAAGAAAACTGAGGAGGAGGAGGAAGGCCTCTTTGAGGATGATGAAGAAGAGGAGGAGGGGGAGAAGGGCAAAGAGAACGAAGGAAACCAAGAAGGAAACCAAGATGGTGACGATGCCTTTGACAAGGAACTGGATTACGGATTAAACACGTCTCCCTTTGACGCCTACTCCTACCACGATGGCTGGAGCGACGAGGGGGCCGAAGAGGCCGATCTTGGCTTGGTGGGAGAAATGGCCGCTCTTCCTCAGGCTGGAGATGCCAACAATGATGGGAAGCCAACATTTGATGCCTGGGGAGACCTTGTGGGAGGGTCGAGGCCCTAACGGCAGGCCCAGAAGCGCCTGGAAAGGGATGGAGCCCAGGAAGGGGGATTTGAAGCACAATCTTGGGAGCTTTGAAGCTTTGAAGCTTTCATTTTTAAACAAATTAAAACTTCTAATTTCAATTTAATTTGGAGCCAGGACAGTCCCTAATAATCTGTGTCGCATCCAGCTGCTTCCAGACTCCTTGATTTATGACCACCATTGAGCCCAATGTTTCTGTTGCTAAGTGAGACATTTGTTTTGTCCTGTTTTATGAACCTTTCTTGCCACCGTTAAGTGAATTACTGCAGTTGCTAAGTGAGTCACACGGTTGTTAAGTGAATCTGGCTTTGACTTTGCTCGTCAGGAGGTCGCAAAAGGGGATCACGTGACCTTGGGACAATGCCACCGTCCTAAATACGAACCAGTTGCCAAGCGCCTGAGTTTTGATCCCATGACCACAAGGATGTTGCAACGGTCCCGAGCGTGAAAAATGGTTATAAGTCACTTTTTCCAGTGCTGTTGTATGTTCTAACGATCACTAAACAAATTATTGTAAGTCAAGGACTATGTGCACTGCCTAATACTGTTTTTTTCCTATAAATATATATATATATTTGTTTTTCTTTCTTTTTCATAGGTTCTATGTGTAGTTCTCTTTAGCCAGGTTCTACCTACATAATATCTTGGTTTACGTAGGTAGAACCTGGCTAAAGAGAAATATATACACATACACATACATTACATACAGTACATATACATATGAATATGCATTCACACACATATACACACACAATTTTTTTAATGTGCTTTGGAAAAAAGACACTTGTGTTTTGGGGCAGATTTTCCACATTGAAAATTCTTGGTACTTTTTGAAGTCTCTACCCTGCAGCCACTAAGGGGTATCCACTCTTGGCGACTTGTGGACTTCAGCTCCCAGAATTCCCCAGCCAACTATGTTGGACACCTCTGCCCATGCTATGAATGTGGCTTGATTGACTTGGATGCGTACTTCACCGCATGAAATTAGCTGGTTGTGTTTCACGGGACTAAGAAAATGCAGGGGAAATTCTCCATTTCCACTTATGTCCGTAATGTTTCATCAAGCCACGCTCCTGGAGATTGTTTGTGCGAGCAATGAATGAATGACAGAATAATAAGAGTTGAGACACTCCAGAAAGCCCCCCTCCCCCATGTCTGTGCTGGCTCCTTGGGTGGGTGGGACTGGCACAGGCTCCTCTGTATGCCTGGCAAGGAGGAAAGAGAGCAGCCAGGTGGGCACCCAGCAAGGTGTGCAGGATCTGTGGCCAGTGGGTACATTTATTTATTTGTTGGTTCAATTTCTACAGACGCATGGAGGCCACCATAAACATGCCTGGCAGATCAGGCAACTTCCGTGCTTTAATGGTGAAGGATGGGGGGGGGGCGGGCAGCGTCTGGGGCCACAGGCAATAATTTATTGCAGAATTCTACCCAGTCTAAGGGTGCCTGGCCTCTTTGTTTTTTTCCTTAAGGCAAAGCAACTTCCATCCTCAGTACTCTTCCTCTTCAGGTAACTCTGGAAAAGGGATGGAGGCATCAGAAACGGCCTTCCTTGTGGGTAGGAGACGAATTCCAGAGGTCCCCCCCATTCTTACTAGGCTGACCCTTCTGAGAACCAAGGAGACCCCCCTCCCCCTTTATGAGTGGCTGCTTTGCCCAGGAACACACAGCCTCTGCCTTTGGGACACCCAGCCAGTGTATGTGCCTACAATTTGGTGCAGGCCAGCCCGCCCACCCCAAGGATGGAGAGCATTTCCAAGCGATCCGTGCTCCTGTTTCTCCTGTTGGCCAGAGGGCTGGATCCTGCAGCAGAATCTGGGGGTGGGAAGAGGCAGGGTGAGGGCTCCTTCTGCAGTGCTGCCAGTGGGGGGGGGAACTCTCCTTTCCCCCCTTCCTCTTCTTTGCACAGAGCCCTCAAGGTGTGGATTGAGGGGAGCTGTGGCAGGACCTCCTCTTCCTCCCCGCATGGCCTCTCACCTTTCAGCCTCTCCCCCCAGCAGCACCGCACACTCACCTCTCTTCGGGCACTTCAGCTGGCACTTCCCACACTCCCCCCCCGGAAGTGGGGTGGGTGGGTGGGCAGACAGGAGCTCCTGCTGTGCACAGCATGAATGGAGCAGAACTGGGGAGACACCCACCCCTCCCTTCCAGATGGTTTTAGGGTTAAGATTAGATGTGTACAAACACAGCAGATCTGTCATTTTGCATATTCATTCCAGACTCTTTGCCCCCCTCCGAGCATTACCCGCCTCCCTGCCTGTGTCAGCCCCCCCCCCGCCCTTCAGCCCACCCCCTTCTTGAAAGGAAGCCTCCAGACTGGGCTGCTGGCCAGCAGGGCCCTGGGTTCAGGCCAATGGCCGGTGAAGCCCCATGCAGCCCCCATGGCTTGAGTCCCCATCTGTCCAGGACCCCAGCACTCCACCCCTCCCCAGAAGGGCTGCCCCGATGGGTGAGGAAAAGAGGGGGCTTCTCAGTTGGGGCTTGGTGGGCAGCAGCTTTTCTGCAAAACAGACCAACCAATGGGCTTCTGGAAAGCGCCACTCATTGAACCCCATTAGAGACGGGGCGGGGGGGGGGCTCAGCCCTTGCTCCTCCCTGCCCAACAGCCGGGCTCACCAGCCACCTCGCAGTATTTCTGGCCATTGCTTGATAGTGGAGTAGCTGTTGTGGCTACCGGGGCAGCCGTAGAAAACGAAAGGCTCGCAGCTCTTGGAGGCCACGTTGCAGAAAAAACGTTCTTTAGGCTCCCCACATCGTTCGGAAGAGTCGGGGAAAGTGCTGCAGCTTCTGTCGGCTGGCAAGAGAGGAGAGTCAGGACACTCAAAGCTTTCCTCAGTTGTAGGGGCTCTGGGGTGCATGTGTGGGGAAAGAGCAGCCCCCAAATAGAGGCTGGGGAATTCTGGGAGTTGAATCCGCAAGTCTTAAAGTTGTCCAGGTTGGAGACCCCCACCCTCGTCGAATTTGCATCCAGAGCAGGGGTGAAATCCAGCAGGTTCTGACAGGCTCTGGAGAACCGGTAGCGGAATTTTTGAGTAGTTTGGAGAACCGGCAAATGGCTCAGACACCTGGAGATTCAGTTTCAATGAGATTCAACAGTGTCTCCAAATTAAATCAAGTTTCTAAATTAGGGTCAAAATTTCCAATCCAAATAGATTAATCTTTGATTTGGAGACTTGGAGGTTTGGTCCAAGGAAAAGGGAGCAAGACCCCTTCGGGAAACAAACCGTCCCATCGCAGTTTGTTTTGCAGGGGCTCTGAGGACGAGGTTTCAGTTCACACCTAGGATGTGTCACTCAATTCTGTGCCCCGAATTTGAGGAAGGACTTTGGCCACCAAGTGGGAAGGAGAAAGGAGTCGGTCAGCATTGAAAGAAGGAAAAGTTGGGCGGTTGATTAACCTTGGGAGGCAATAAGGATGGAGATTAAGTTGGGGAAAACTTTCAGCATTTTAACAGCTGTTTGACTCTGACCTGGACACCATTCAGAAGCAGTCAGCTCTCCTTTACGGGGGTGTTTGAATGGAGCTGGGGGTGGGGGGTGGGGTGGAAAGCAACTGTCAGGGACCCTCCTGCACTCCTTAGAGGGTGGACTAGATGACCTCCCAGAGCCTACAAACTCTTTAAGTTCTCTAATTCTATCAATACTTCTATCAAGCCTAGTAACTCCCCGCTCAGTTCCTGGATGTTAATGTTATGTTATTAATACTAATAATATTAATGATGTTAGTATTATTATAATGTAATTGTTTTTCAGTTAGTTTTATAATCGGTAAGCCGTCCATAAGCACCTTGTAGGGGAAATGGGTAACATAGAAATTTAATCAATCAATCAATCAATCTAACATTAAAATAATCCGCGGGCGAGCGACTGCGATGTCCTGCGGCAGCGTTTGCCCGTGGAGGCTGTGGGGAAGGCAGGGACCAGTGACTGGACCCACCGTTCATCGACGTCTTCTTCTGCGCTGGGCCGCGCTCGCCCCTTCCCACCACCCCCTTCGATGCGGCGTCCAGAGTCCACTGACTCCGGGGTGGGCGGCGTCCTTGGGCAGCCGGGATCCCTGCCCGAAGCCCCAGAGGCCGAGACCGGAAGCCGAATAAAGCCCGGCCGTCTCTCGTCTAGGGCTCCGCGAAGGACGCAGGGCCGCTATTCCCGCGTGCGGGGAAGTTCGGGAGCAGAACGGTGGGTCTCTGGGGGGCGCACAGCCCTGCGGAATGGGGGGTTCTCTTGGGGTTCGGGCTGTGAGAAGACCCCTCTCTTGCCGAAGCATCCCACCGCCCCTCCCGCCCTAACGCTCGGCCCACTTACAACTGTCGTGCACGGAGAGCAGAGGGCTCCAGAGGGCAAAGGCGACCCCCAAGAGGAGGAGGAGGAGGAGGAGGAGGAGGGCTGCGACTGGACCTCACGGTGATGGCTGGGCGACTGAGCCGCCTCCGACTCCCCTCCGGGGCAAAGAGCGCGGCGCTCCTCCCCTCCCCTCCGGAGGGCTGCGCTTGGAGACACCCCACCCCCGCCCCTCCAGATGGCTCTTGCGAAGAAGGTTTCGGCGCTTGGGTTCCGGCGGGGTAACGTCAGCGGGCGGAGGGACGGGGTGGGCTCGTGGCTTCCCAAAGGGAGGGCTAGAACTCTTATCTCCTGGTGATTGGCTCAAAGTCACCCAGTGGCTTTTATTCCTATGGTGGGACTAGAACTCCCCTCTCCTGGCAAGTGGCTAAAGTCACCCAGCCACTTTTCATGCCTAAGGAGAGAGTCGAACTCACCATTTCCTAGTTTCTACCCTGGTTTTTACTTGTAACAATCTTGATCTTTTGTCTCTTCAAATATGTTGCAGAACTTAATTTATTTTCATTTTTTTGTCCATCACAAAAATTTTCAAACTTTTCATCTTCATTGACAATCTTCAGTCTCAAAAGACTATGGTATCGTGTGAGAATCCAGGTGCTGGATATAAAAGGGGACGCCGTTAAGCTGGCAAAACAGGTGATGGGCTCCTGTATGAGGAGGGGAGACATTCCAGAAAGTCCCCCCTCCCCAATGTCTTTGCTAGCTCCTTGGGTGGGTGGGACTGGCACAGGCTCCTCTGTATGCCGGGCAAGGAGGAAAGAGAGCAAACACGGGGGCATCCAGCAAGGTGTGCCAGATCTGTGGCCAGTGGGTACATTTATTTATTTATTGGTTCAATTTCTACAGACGCATGGAGGCCACCATGAATGTGGCTGGCAGATCTGGCAACTTCCGTGCTTTAATGGTGAAGGATGAGGGTGGGGCAGCCTTTCCCTTGCCCGGAAAAGATACTCCCAGGAAACACACAGACAGCATCTGGCACCACCGTCTCCTTCGGGAAATCATTTATTCCAGAATTCCCTCCCTTTGAAAGGCGCCTGGACTGGAGGCTTTGTGCGCCTGGTCTCATCCTGAACCGGCCTCTCTTTTCCTTCAGCGCAAAGCAGGCCGAGCTTCCATCCACGGAGCCCTTAGGGAGACCCTGGAAAAGGGAAGGGGGCGTCAGGAACGGTCTTCCTTGGGGGGTTGCAGGAGGGGGGGGCTGAGAATCAGAGAGTCCCCCTCCCCCGCTGTGAGGGGCTGCTTTGCTCCAGCCTCTGCCTTCGTGACACCCCCCCCCCGCCAGTCTAGGCACATACATTTGGGTGTACTCCAGCCCCCCTCCCTGGGGGAAGCGAACCTTCTTTTCTGCAGCAGGCTTAAGGGCGAGTGGAGCCCACTCCACCACTCCACCACTGAAGGTGGAGCAGATTTTTTCTGTCCCATAGGATGGACCACATTCCCAAGAGATCCATGGTCCTCCTTCTCCTGCTGGCCAGTCGGCCGGATCCAGCAGCAGAATCTTGGGGGGGGGGGGCGGGCACTGATGGTACCGGTGGGAGGGGGAGAACTCTCCTTTTCCCCTTCCTCTTCTTTGCACACAGCCCCCAAGGTGTGAATGCAGGACCTTCTCCTCCTTCCCACATGGCCTCCCACCTTTCAGCCCCCCTTCCCTCCTCCCCCACAGCACCACACACCCACCTCTATTGCGGCACCTCAGCCGGCACTCCCGACCTGTGTTGAAGTTGTTGAGGTTCCCCCCGCAGCCCCCGAAAGTGAAGGTCTTGCAATCCTTGGTGCTTGGGTCGTAAAACCAGCGGTGCCTTTTGTTATCACAATCCCCCTTTTCAGGAGGCATCTGGCAGACATCTGCAGAGGGGAGGGAGGGGATAGAGGTTGGCATAGGTAGGCAGCTACATAGATGTTTTAAAAGGGAGGGAGGATGGAAGGAAGGAAAGAAAGAAGGAGAGGGAGTGAGAGGGAGGGAGGGAGGGAGGGAGGGAGGGAGGAAGGAAGGAAGGAAGGAAGGAAGGAAGGAAGGAAGGAAGGAAGGAAGGAAGGAAGGAATCAGAAACCCAGAAGACTGGGCCCCTGCAGTCCCCCCATCAGGATAACCATTCTTCCCTCCCCCACCCCAAGCCCCCCCTTTCCTCCCTCAGCTGGATTTGGGCATTTTTGGCTTCCTTTCAGACAGGTGCCCCCTGGAAGTGGGGGGGGCTTGCAGGCAGGAGCTCCTGCTATGCAGAGCATGAATGGAGCACAACTGGGGAGACACCCACCCCTCCCTTCCAGATGATTTTAGGGTTAGGATTAGATGTATACAAACACAACAAATCTGTCATTTTGCATATTCATTCCGAGTCTTCTCTTCGCCCCCCAAGTGTTACCTTCCTCCCTGCCTGCCTGTCTCAGGGCCCCCCCCCGCCCTTCAGCCCCCCCCTGCCTTCTTGAAAGGAAGCCTCTGAGTTTGCGATGCTGGTCAGCAGGGCCCTGGGTTCAGGCCAATGGCCGGTGAAGCCCCATGCAACCCCCATGGCTTGAGTCCCCGCCTCTCCGGGACCTCCGCCCTTCACCCCTCCCCCAGAAGGGCTGCCCTGACAGGTGAGGAAAAGGTTTTTTTTTTCCTCATTTGGGGCTCAGCGGACAGAACCAACCCATGGCCTCTGGGAAGCACCACTCACGCAGCCCCTCAGCCCCTGCTCCTCCCTGCCCAACAGCCCAACTCACCAATCTCTGAGCAAAATTGCTGGCATTTCTTCAGGGTGCGGTAGCTGTTCACGTTCATGGGGCAGCCGTAGTCACGGAATCTCTGGCAGCTCTTGGAGGTGACGTTGTAGAAAAAATGGTCTTTGGGGAACCTACACCGTTCGTGATAGGTGGGGAACCTGCTGCAGCTTTCGTCGGCTGGCAAGAGAGGAGAGTCGGGACACTCAAAGCTTTCCTCAGTTGTAGGTGCTCTGGGGGTGTGTGGGGGAGGAGATAGAGCAGCCCCCAAATAGAGGCTGGGGAATTCTGGGAGTTGAAGGCCACAAGTCTAAAAGTTGCCCTGGTTGGAGACCCCCACCCTCCCCGAATTTGCATCCAGAGCCTCGGAGGCTTCAGGGTGTCTCTTGACACAGGGAGGATCCCTCTGGATCCTTTCCTTTGTTTGTCTTTGTTCCATGGTTATATTTTAACTGAAACTCAGGGAGGGAGCCTGAAGCCCTGAAGCAATGGGAAACCTCACCCCAGAATGCTGGTGCTGCACCCCATAGACTGCTAGGGCTGGAAGGGACCTTAGAGGTCTTCTAGTCCAACCCCCTGCTCAGGCAGGAGACCCTAGACCATTCCAGACAAACGGAGGTCCAATCTCTTCTTCAAAACCTCCAGTGATGGAGCATCTACAACTTCTGAAGCAGCTCCTTCCATTGATGAATCGTTCTCAGGAAATTCCTCCTAAGTTCTGTATTGCTTCTCTCCTTGATGAGTTTCCACTCGATGTTTCCCGTCCTGCCTTCTTCTGCTTTGGAGAATAAGTGACCCCTCCCCCTCTGTTTAGTGGCAGCCCCTCAATTGTCTTCCAGGACAACACTGTCCTCTCCCCCTGGATCCTTTGATGGGTGGACCTAACTAGATCCCTCCACCGTTCATCACAGGTTTCTTAGTCTCCGGATCTTTCATCTCTTTGGGCCAAGAGGGGCTCTGGGGAATCTCCCCCTTTGCTTCCGCTCTCCTGGCAGGAAAAGGGAGCAAGACCCCTTCGGGAAACAAAACCTCCCATCGCAGTTTGTTTTGCAGGGGCTCTGAGGACGAGGGTCGTGCAAGAAAAAATAGCCCTACAGGTGTGTTTCTGTGTCTGTGCTTAAGAAAAGCAGGGCAAGAATAACTCAGAAATGGAAAAAAACCAACTGGAGACCTGGAGATTCATTGGAGGCCCCAAACTGAATCAGGTGTCTAAATTGGGATCAAAATTTCCAATCCAAATAGATTAATCTTTGATTTGGAGATTTGGTGGTTTGGTCCATGCACAGAAAGAGATATTAGAACTCAAAGTGGTTTTCTAAGTCAGCTCACTCAACGTCTCACTGGAGACTCTGGCTGGGAAGAAGCCAGGACTCCCTTTCTTT